AAGATTTTTGTCTGGCCATTCTTTTATTCATCCTGTCAGTAAATTAATTAGCTAAGAATTAATTAGCAAAGATACTAGTAGCCACATGCACTAAACCTGGGAACTGCAGGAAGCTTCATATAGCCCCATACCTTTTGCTTTTGGATAACTGGAAGGCTTGAGGGGCTGCACCTCTTAAACTCAAATGGTGTTTTATTGTGCAGCTCGTGGATAACATTTGCTATATTTTCTTTTTTTTTTTTTTTTTTTTTTTTTTTTTTTTTTTTTTTTTTTTGGCAAGCAGACTGTTGGACCATATGCCTGTATTGTCTGTTTGGTGGGTCTGTTGCTTTGCTTCAGGGCCTTGGTTCCGTGATCATCTACACTGTATACATAGTAGATTTTGCCAGGACTCTAGTCTGGAGTCAAATAATTACTTGGTTTTATGAGAGCCTCTTTTGCTGCAGGATCCACACCCTGTAGATAATGCAGGCATGGACATTCATTCTTCCTCACCAGAGCAATCTGCTTGTGTATTCCTAATGTGCTCTCAAGTCCAGCATGCCCTGGCATATGCATGGCACAACTTTGTAGGCACGCTACGAAACACAGCAGCCTCCAAAGTCTGTGCCTGCTTATTTGGCTACCTCAGTTCTTATGCAAGAAAATAGTACCACTGAGGCAGACATGTGCCATTTGGGGACTGGAGTGACCAGGATCCTGTCCCAGGTTATTGTTACTGGGACTGTAGTTTGGCATCTCTCTCCCTCCAGTACCAAGCAGCTGCACCAGGTGCTTCCCTGGGAGCACCACAGAACTTCTACTGCACCACATAGGAGGAGGCTCAGTAAGAGATCAGGAGAGTTGAGAACCTGCTTTTGTATCTAAGCTTTGTCACAGGGAGGATGAGGGGGAAGAGCCCTTTTCCCAGGAAACAGCGCCCGCCCCCTGACACAGACACTGGAATTAGTCCTGGGACTTTCTGTCTAAATCCACCAGAATGCAGCACCCAGGAGTACCTACATCTGATCAGCTTCATTTGTATGAAGGACGTGGCTTGTTTGTGCCATGCTTACAGCTCTATATAAGTGAAGAAAGGAGACTTCTACCATGGCAGTGTGGTACTTGGGTGGAAGGAGGCTTGCAGCACACAGAACTCTTTAATTAGCAGACTGACAGATGTGTTTCTTTGACAGTTCTGAAAAGCAGCAATATTTGCCACAGAACAGCCAAATACATCGCTGTTTGTCTTGCTGGTGGCAAGGGGTGGGGCATACAGTTGAGGAAATGGCAAGGATGCCTTGGAATGTGGAAATGGCAGCTTTCCAAGCAGAATGGGCTCTGGCAGCCATCCACACTCAGCCATACACATGGGCATGCCCCAGGAGCCATCTCACAGCTTTCCAAAGTTGCGGAACAGGTCATGCAGCACCTGAGGGAAGAGATATCCACTGGGACAACCTGCTTGCATCTCTTTCTCTATGGGCACAGAGCCCAGCAGCAGAGAGCAGGAGGTGTGGGAGAGCTGTGTGAGGGGAAGGAAGCCTGCCAGTGAGCCAGCCCCAGGAGCCACGGAATTGCAGGCCACTGCCTGCTGAGAAGCAGCAGGAAATTTTGGTGGAAGGAGATAAAGAAACAGCAGTGGTAACTCATCTGGGAGCTGTACCTCCTGCCCCAGAGCCACTGTTACGGCTCTGTCTAGGAAAGACCTGCCAGCTTTGCTGGAAATGGAGCTTCTTCCCTGGACAGACATCACCCCACTCCCCTGTTCTCCTGGCTGCCTGGCTGCTGCAATAGCCAGGCATACCCTGGCATGACCAAGGTCATACCACAGGGATACTTTGCTTCCTCTTATATGTATATGGCTGATTTGTCCCACCAAAGAAGTGTTTCATGACACAGCAAGGGTTTGAGGGTTTGTTTTTTTTTTTTCCTGTTTACAGCTTTTGGCCTATTCTAGTGTTTTAGTCAGGACAATCTAACTGTGTGGGTGGAATGCCTTTTGAAACGTGTGTACCATGCAGTACCTTCACAGTGGGATTTGAGCACCTACAGTGGCCCTTCTCAGAGATCACAGAGGCTCTCTGGACCTGCTGAACAGCTCCCCTTGGGCACCCACACTTCTGATGTGTGCTTTGCACAGCAGACTCGGTTCTGAAGAGAACCAGCACAGAGACGCTCTAGCTGTTTGTCCTGGGTCGCTGGTCATCCCAGGATGTCTCCACAGCTCATGACCTTTGCAAATAGCATTCCTGACTGTGTGCCAGGGAGGCAGGGAGATGATGAGGCTGCTAAGGACTGCTGTCTCACAAGGCTCTGGTGTCCCCAGCACAGCTCTCTGTGTGTGGCACCCAGCTGTCAACACGCAGCCCACAATGGCACTAAGGCGCTCCAAATTGGAACTGCTGTTTGGTCAGGAAAAAGACAGCTCTGCACATGGCATGGCCTCCACAAGGGGTGTGAGCAGCAGCCTGGCAGGGGACAATCCGGGCCACATGTTGTCTTTCACACAGAGAACACCCTGCTCAAGGGAGGGAGCGAGGAGCACACCAGGACAGGCTGTGCTGTGGGAGCACAGCAGATCCTCAGAGACCTCCGAGTAGGGTGAATTACATAGAATCATAGAATTGTTCAGCTCCAAAAAGAACTCTGAGATGACCCAGCTGTAACATCTGTTGGCCCAACTATTTGGCCTGGAGACCAAATCAGATCCATTATATATTCCCAACCCTTCCAGTTGGCCCAGGCGTAGCATTTAATACAGCATGGGGAAAGCTGATTAAGTAGCAATTTAACATTAATCAATAAAACGTGGTTAGACTAAACAGAAGTTGTGTGATTAAAGAAGCATCAGAAATTCAACTCAGATTGGAGTCAGAACTTTTCGTTGCTTAGGAAAAACATGGGCTCCTGCATGGCATCACTGACTGTTAACTAACTCATGCTGAGATAAAATGGCACTAATTGATCTGTTGATATGGATGGAAATTATACAGATGCAGACATTTTGCATTTTTAACAGAAGTAAAGCAGCCTGTCCAGGTTCCAGATTGCTTTCGTCTGACCTTGAACACATATTTATCACAAAGATTCCCATCTGCCACTACCTGAACCACACCCGGCTATCAAAAAAGATTTTCTGCCCTGTAATTTTAATTTCCCTATAGTGTTCTTGCAAATGATTCTTCCTTTTGTATTCAAGGACTTATTTTTTCTTCTTACATCTATTTTTGTTTTTCATTTTATGGGCACCTAACCAGTGCTAGCACATACCTCATTCCAGTGCAGTACATGAATTTTCCACACCACTTCTGTGTGGTCATATTCCTTATTTACTCCACTGCATTACATGACTAAATTGCCAGCAAAGGTTCTCTATAACTGTCTCTATTAAAACTTAGTATTCCTGAGACGGCTGCCTTGAACTCTCAGCACTTATAAGCTTTGATTTGACGGCCAGTAGCAGGCCTTGCCTCCTGTCACTTGCCTCAAAAGCAGCACCCAGCTAGAACTGCGTATTCTAAATCCCTCCAACACCTGCTTTGTAGTGGGCTGTCACTTCACCCATGGTGACAGTAGCATTCACACCACCATACACTCCAAAATACCAAATCGCTTTTATTCATGGCATGAAACAGCCAAACTGACTTATGCAGAGGACAGCTGCTAATTCCAGAAATAACAAGGTCTGGCACAAGCCAAGTATACCTGCTGGTCCATCTCTGTACCCAGGTAGCTAAATGCCTCTTCAGGACTAAGATTTTGCTTCAGCTAATGAGTGTGACTACAACTGTGTGCCTCTAAAGGCTCTAATTTTCATTTGCAACAGAAAAATGCTTACACTTTCAAGCTAATAATTTCATTAAGGAAGACTGTTATCATAAGGAGATTGTTATTTTCTTTCTGGGGGAATCAAAACTAACAGAGAAGTTAGTTAATCTTCATTTCCAATTACAAAAGCACAAACTTTAAATTCACTCTGTGGCAAGCACAAAATCAGATTTGTTTCCCCTGTGTATTCTGATTTGAGAATTCTAGCTTTCACACATGCAACCTGCAAAACATGTGTTTTGCATTTGTTTTCTCATAGTGAGGAGTTCATACAAAATGTCTAAGAGGGCTGCTTTTCTTTTTCTTATTCACACTTTCCGTGATCTGCCTTCATGAGCTTTTAACATCAACACACTGGTGAGAAAATCAAGCATGCAAGCATCTGGATTTATGGGGATGTGATCAGAAAGTATAAAAGCATAGATTTTTTTTTTTTTTAAATATTCACTCAGCACTTTTTTAATCTCAGTCTGAGACATTCTTTGTTTTCGCAGAAGTCAGAGCTAGCCCAGGGAACAGTGGCAGAGTTCTCTGACGTCAGGCTCATTGTGTAGGGTGTGTTGTGATGTTCTAGAATTTGGTTCACAATCACGCAGTGAATTCTTTTTAGCTCAGCACTGACATCTTTACCTGAACAAGAGGGAAGGTTGTCTGCAGTAGAAAAGTGATGCTGCTAGAAGACCCATCACAGAGATACATTCTTTATCCTATATAATTACTTTGTGCATTAATCATGGGAGATAACAGAATGGATTCCATGCCTACAAAAGCAGCAGTAAACAGGATTATTTAGCATCCACAGAAGACCTATATATCTCTAAGAAATTCAGAGCTATAGATCAGTGGTTCAATGGTTGCAGCTGTGTAAGGAGTGAGATGCTCAGTGCTGGGCCCTGCTATGGGTGGCATTTTCAAATGGTATGTAATGCTGAAAAACCTCAGAGAGACTTTTTCCAATTGTATCACCTGGTTAAATAAAAGATACAACCTCTTTGTACAAACTTTACATGTAAAATTAAGTATTTGTTTACACTGGATTTAAAACTTGGACAAATCTTTTTGCATAGCTCTCTATTGTGAGAGTTCTGCAGTAGTGCAGACTGGGAGTGTCACTGGTATGGTTTGCAGCTTACTCACTCACCTGCAAGTAAATTATCAGTTCTGAAAGGTACCTGTGTTGATAGGTAAGTCTTTGGAGCAGACAAGCCCCAAGTCCCCTGAGCATTACCAAACACAGTAATTCTCCAGGGAACTTGCAACAGTAGGGTATTAACCCCGAAATTAAGGCCATATTCCAAAGTCAAATACAATGATTGCACAAAGCACAGGAGATATGTTTATTGGTGCTCCTCCTTCGTGAGAGGCTCTGAAGCAAGGAGAAGGAGCAAAGGCTGGCGTTGAAAATCACGTTCTGTTGGGCTGGGTCAGGCTGCCCCTGTTCTAGAGCTGAGCCCGAAGCGAGCGCTGGGATAAAAATAAAACCGATGTGCAGCACTGGCACTCCAACAAAGCAATTCATGTGGATAGTGTTTGATATAAACCAGCTAATAGTGTTTGCCTTGCAGCCAGTACAAGGAGAACAAGTCGCTTTTCTGCACGGTGGAGTCATCTGATGTTTGCTTTAATTTCTGGCAGATCGGGGCAGCGTGAGTCAGATGCTCTCACAGCTGGCTCGGGCGGGGAGGAGGCCAGCAGGGACCCTGACTCACCAGAGCCGCCGCATTCCATCCCAAAATCCAGCTCAGCGCCTGGCAGTGAAATCACGGGCTGGGGGCAGCTCCAAGGTTAGGCAGGGCGGGAGGTGCGGGGGGCAGGCAGCGAGCCCGGCCCGGGGTGGGTGGGTGCCGGGGAAAGCCCCGCCGGACGCGTCTCGCTGGTGGGCTCGGCGCTCGCCCCCTCCCCGGCGGCAGAGCCCGGGGCCGCTGCCCCGGCAAGCCCCGGCCCCCGTTACCTCATTGCCACATTCCCCAGCGAGTGAGCTCAGCTGTGCCGCGGCCTCGCGCCTTTTATGGTCAAACAACTTTGCCTGGGCGAGGCTTTTTTCGCGAGTTGGGAGGAAGCGCCGGGGCTCGGCGGCTCCTCCGCCTCTCGCTGCTGCTGCTTGCCCCGGCGGGCGGGCCGGGGCAGCCGAGCAGCCCGGCCCCGACAGCCGCAGTGCCGGGGCGGCACTTCCCGCTCCCCCTGAGGTGAGTCCCGCTCGGCTTGGCGACAAAGCCCTTGTCCTTCGCCCTGGGAGGGGTGCGGGTTTCCTGCCGCTCCCTCCCGCACGGCTCCGCGCCTCGGACACAGCCCTTCGCTCCTGGTGCTGGCTCGGGGGGGAGGTGGTGCTTGGCCCAAAAAATAAGCAGGTTCGTGTGTGTGTGTGTCTGTGTGGTGAGTTTTCTTCCGTGCCGGTGGAATGGAGGCGACTCGGCGCTCCCGCACAGCCCCAGCAGCGGGGGATAGGGAGGGGGTGCTGCCGGGCTCTGCTCGGGACAGGCTCTCTTTTGTGTGAGCTTGGATGACCGAGACACCTCGCGAGCCTTTTTCCAGATGTGCTCGAGAGAAGAATCTGGGGCCCTTTGTGCATGAGATTTGCCTAATTTATGGCTTTCTGGCTCCCTGGGAGTGCCCTGAGAAAGTGCTTGCAAAGTCGTAGAACTTTCTAACGTTTTAAATATGTTTGCATAGCTTTTTGGAGTTTTCCCTGGTGTTTCTTACCTCCCTTGCATAGGGAGGAAACAAGCTCAGTATCTGTGAGAGAAGTTAGTATCTCTGAATAACCCCCTCCCCCAGCCTGGTTGCTCTGAGGCTTTACCTTGCAGCTTGCATAGCTGATAGACTTTGCTCTCTTTGAAGCTTTGTAACTTTGGGGCAGGCTGGGAGAACTTTCTGGATGAAAAGCAGCATAACTCCCGAATCCATTTAATCTGTTCTTAATATTCTCGTTTGTTTGTGGATCTTGTTTGTTTGGATTTTTTGTTTTGGTGGGGTTTTTGTTTGGTTGGTTTTTGTTTGGTTGGGGTTTTTTTTTGTTTTGTTTTATTTTTTTTCTTGTTTTTTGTGTTCTCCTCTGACTCTCCTCAGCTAGGGGGAAGTTGGCCGATGGGGAAGTACAGATGTGATGTGTGGAGCTATAGGGGTTCCCAGCGTGGCTGCTGCCATACTGTTTTAACCAACAGAAGTGAAAAATGTCACTTGGCTCTGTGCTTCTTCAGGTTCCTCCTGGTGTTTCTACCCCAGGAAAGGAGCAGAACTGTTGAGAGTGGTGTTGTGGCATCAAAGAAGTGAAAATTGTCTGGATGTATAACAGGTGGCAGACCTACCATGAGAATTGACCCTCTTGCTGAAGGAGGTGTCCCTTGGTACTGTCCTACTTCTTCCTGCTCTCAAAACGAAACAGTGTATGAGGCAACTTAGGTATCCTGACTGTGGCCTTTGGGAGCATCTTTCTTCATAGCTCCACTTGAGTCATCCTAAATGCTGTTAGAGCAGGTAGAAAAATCTCTCCCCTCAGGGTAAATGTGAGGATGAGAAAGATCTGAGATTACTTCTGTTGGCGTGACACTCCCTCTCGCATAGCTCTCACAAACTGCGCCACAGGACCTGTGGGAGCTGTGTGTTTCTGGTAAAGCTTAGATGGCATTGGCAACACTCCAGGGCTGGAGGGGGTGACTCTCTGCAAGGCCCAGCTTTCTCAGCCAGTTTGGTCTGTGTGTGGGTGGACTGATAACCAGAAGTAAGGATGAGCAGGGGCAGCTGCTTGGTAGAGACAGCCCCAAGCAGCAAGTGCCCTAAGTGCGACACAGCGTACTGGGAAATGGGCTGCTTTGGTTTAAGGGAGATAGTAGCTGCTGGTTGCAAAGCCAGTGGTTTTTTTTGCAAAGCAGCCAGTGTCCCCAGACTCTGTGTTGATTAACCCCGTGATTAGAAGTGACATTGTCACTGTAGTGTTCTGTTCATAATCCTGTCAAATCTGGTAGAACTACTGCCAAGTGGTTCATTACACCCTAGTGAAATAATGGAGAAGGAGGCAAAAGTCTCTAAAGAAAGGCTGGAGGTGGTTTTGACAGCTTCTGAAGCTTGGTGGGAACTGCAGAATGGAGAGAGTTGGTCAGTCCTTTCTGACTGGCAAGTCTGTTGACCCCTAAAAGTTTGTAGGAGTGAGGACAGACTTTGCTAATTACTCTTCTGCCTTGGCCCTTTCTCATTCTGAATCCAGTGGGAATGCTCAGCACAGCTTTTTGGCTCCTGTTTATTGTTGCAGCCTCATTCTCCTTTTGAAACTCCCAGAAGAGTTGTCCAAGTGTACGCATCTTATCAGCGCTGCACAAAGGGAAGGAAAAGTTCAGCAGCGTGAACTTTGTTTGTCTGTGTTGCCACACGCTGGTGGCCTGGGGAAGCTGGGACAGCTCGCTGCTGTATGGTGCCACACTGCACTGAGCCGTGGGAGCGCTTAGAATGGGCCATGCAGATCTTGGCAGCGGCCAGGGTTTAACGGGGGTGGGCGGGTGTTTGTGGCACCAGGGCTGTCTGGCAGCAGCTGTTCCTGTCCGTGGGAGAGGCCGGCAGCGCGGAGGGGCACCGATTCGGACATGCCAGCGCGAAAAGCTGGCACGGAGCCCCTGTGCTGACGGCAGCCCTATTGTGCTGGGGTGTTAGGAGGGCAGTGGGCATGCCAGCCTTTACAACAAAGCGTCTGGCTCCACGGAGGCTTCTAGCACGGGGGAGCTTGCTGGCCTGGACCGGGCAGTCCTTGGGGTGCGCCGTTCCAGCACCGCCGGGCATCCCGCGCTCGCCGGGCCCGGGGCTGAGCCCGGCGGCCGGGGCGCTGCCCGCGGGGCGGGCGGGGGGCGGCGGCGGCATCCGGGGAGCGCTTCCTGGCGGCGGCGGGGCGGAGCCGGCCGGGCGGGCAGGAGGCGCGGGCTGGCATCGCCCAGCTCCGGGAGACCCTCTCCCGCCCGGCCGTGCGGGCTCCGGCGGCATGGAGGGGCCTGGAGGTAAAGGGTGGGGATGCCGGGGGAGAGGGGGCGGAACCGACTGGCGTTATCGGGTAAAGGGGGAGAGGAAGTGCCGATTCCACTTCTGGGGGCATCCTTTGGGGTGCGGGGGATCACCCTCCTTCTGGTCACCACGGGTGCAGGGCTCCAGTGCAGTGGAAATCTGGGTTTTCTCTGTTGTAAGAACCTAATTGTGGTTAATGCCATCCTGAGTTGAAATGGTGAAATGTGATGGTTCATTCGAGCTGTCTGCAGTTCATGTAAGTGCACTGCTCAGACACCTCAGCCTCTGGCCTGGGTTAAATTCCTCTATCCCTTTGTTTCACGTGTTCTGTGTTCTTCTCCATTAGTTTCCACTCTGGCCCAAGGATGACTTCATGTAGGTTTCCTCCCTCTTCTCTCCTGCTAGGTGCTGAGAAGATGGCCTCCCCAGGTGCCCCAGGGACCCGCATGACGTCCACAGTCAGCATCACCATTTCTACCCCTTCCTTCTACAACCCACAGAAAAAATTTGCGCCTGTGGTTGCCCCTAAACCCAAGGTGAACCCCTTCAAGGCTGGGGGTGCATCAGAGTCGTCACTGCCTCCACCTCCTGCTCCTGGTGCCCAGCGTGCTCAGATAGGGAAGGTGGGGGAGATTCCATTACCACCCGTGTCCCTGCTGGCAGAAGGTAGGTCAAGGCTGGCATGGCAGATGTGAATGTGCATTTCTGAATTCTCAGGGTGCGAGGTTCATAGGTGGTCTGAATATGAAAATGGGCATAACTGCTGTAAAGTGATGGATAGTCTTGCCATAGAGGCTAGCAGGTTCCATAACGAGATAAATGGATTGGAAAGAGATCTCAAAGTACATATTGTCTCCATTAGGAAAGGAGGGAGGAGGCTGTCCTGCGCTGCACTGATACTGGAGGAATGCAGTGGATTTTTCACAGTATTCCCTGGGTGCACAGTTGTGTGATTGCAGTCAGTTTCTGGACAGCATGTCTTGAGAGCAAGTATGTTGCAGAAGAGTTGACCCTGATAGGGATGAATCATGCTGTTCTTCTTCTTAATTGGTCCCAGCTCAAGTTGGTTGTCTCTTTGGTTGTCTCTGGCTGTCCTTCTTCTGGACTCTGCAATTGCTACCTTTGATGCTGGAAAAGAGGAGAGAGAAATAATTGCATGAAAAAAATAGAGGCAGCGATGATAAACAGGAAGTGAGACTTAGAGCTTAGTTTATATGGCTTGTACAGTTTTGTACTTTTTGCTAGTGGTTTGGGTTGGGTTTTCCTGTGTAGAGGGACTTCTTGTTTCACTGTGGTTTTCTTACTTCTTTCCCTCTTTGGGTGGCCTTTTTTTGTTTCCTGCAGTGGTAGAGTGGTTTTTTTTTGTTCTGTGTTTTGTTGCTTGGTTGGTTTTGTGTCCTTTAAAAGATGCAGGTTACTGGTTGTGTGACTGTAGTTTGAATGCTTGATCATCATGGGCCACCAGAAATTTCTGTAGGGATTCTTTGCTAATGCTTGATATTGCCTATTTCCCCAAGGCTCCGTCAAGTAAAGGCTGTGCCTCAGTCAGGGCACACATGTTCAGAGAATGCTAGCTCCTGGTTTAAATTTCTTTCACTGTTTAGCAGAGACTTGCAACACTGATATTTTACAGGTTAGCGTGCTAAACTGGTGGGCAGCTAACCTGATGGTAGGAAGACTGGTCCTGTGTTTAGAGGAGAAAAATTATTAAGCCATTTTTCCCATTTCTGAAGTCACAAGGGCATGCTGGTGCCTCCTAAAATTGTACCAGCTAAGTCTAATGACCTGTATCTTATATGCTGTTGGCTGGACTCTTGTGTCTGTGGAAACCAAGGTCCTGTCTTAGGACTTGTCATTTTCTGCTGTAGTTGTCTGGATTAGGGATGTGCCTGCCAGAAGGTCTCGAAGTGATACAAATATTACCTGAAGTAGACAGATGGATGTTAAAATTTATTTTTCAATATACAGTATGAGAGGAGCCGTAGGTGCTGCTTGCTCTGCTTCTCCTATTGTTAAAGTGGGCATTATGAATAACTAGACAGAAAAACTAGCAGGAGAACCATTTGTCATACGCTGCTGTGTCATCATTGGGTAAGGGCTGCCAGCAAGATAGCTGAAGTACAGAGGAGCCACCAAAACTCAGTCATGAGAGAAATGTGTCTGATTTGATCCTCCTCTGGTGTGTCTCTTCAGTCCTTCTGTGCCTTTCTTATACACTCCCCAAACAAAATGTAGTATGATACAGAGCTGTAGCAGTTGAACTCTTTGTCTTAAATGACAGGATGGCTAAGTCAGTATTGCTGTAGGAGTGTTATATTTAGTATTGATTGTTCTGTAAATCTGGTGTTACAACTTTGTGGGGAACTTTCTTGTCCTGTGAATAATTCATTAAACAGGCTTTTAGTGCATCTTAAACAATGTGGCAACAGATCAGGGTTTCATTTCTTATGGTTTCAATAAACCGAAAGGCAAGCATGTATAAGCTTGATCCCGAACCATAATTTCCAAGAAAAAAAAAACAAAAACATAGTATTGCTCCCTCCCCTCCCAGCAGAATTTCTGCAGCACAAGGAGGTTTGCTTGGAAGAGGTGTTGCATACCAGGGCAGTTTATGCATTCCACAGGCTAGTAAGATTTTGTCTGTCTTTTTCTAAAAGCCTTAAAAGCCTTTCTATAAGGGCAGTATTGTCTCCCTTAGATTACAGATGAGAAGTCCTTATAAAGCCTGTTGACAACAGCTGGATATAAAGATGACACTATTTGATTACTGCTGTTAAAAGTTGCACTTGGAGTAGCTGCAGTGAAAAGTTTGGTCTTTCACTCTACTGCTCATTGGGGCTAGCTGGGAAGAGTGGTGGATGTTTGGGAGGAGGCATGTGGAAGTTACACCTCCTTATCTTCGATGTTCTTTGCTGTGTGGTTGATGCGAGGACACTTTCTTCCCTGTGTCATGAAGGGAAGAGGATTCACTTTTATTTGTCCGTGTTGTAGTAGAAAATGGTCGGTTTTGCTTGTTCTGCACCTTTGGCAAATAGGAACAGGTGGAAGCAATGGGATTTTCTAGAAAACTGAGGTGCTCTGCTGCCTTTCAGCCTGATTAAAAGGATTTTGGAAAATTTCTCATGTCATGATGTATATTGGGTGTGAAGACATACTAGCCTCAAAAATCAAAGCTGGTTTTACTTCCCCCCCCCCCCCCCCCCCGCAAACAAAGGTGTTTCAAAGATTCCTCATACACATAAGGGGTAACTGGTCCAGCTTGTTTTTTTTTCTCCGCTTGTTTCTTGTAGTACTTACTATGCTGCTGTGAGATGGCAGCTTATTTTTATGTAAAAACACAGGCTCTCCAAGGTCCTGGGTTGTCCACTGGCATTCCCTCTATGCTACCCTGTGTTCAGTAATATGAGCCAGTTAGTGGCAAGAGAAGGGTGGGGAATGCTGGGGACCAAGGAATGAGACAAGGAGTGGGAAAGAGCATAGTAAAGTACTATTCCCAAATATACAACTCTGCCCAGTGAATAATAGCAGCAGCTACTGAGGAAAGATTAAATGATTATGGAGAGCTTTGGACAAGATGAAAAACAGCCTGCAGAGTTCAGCTGTCCTTGATGGGTGCTGAGTCCCGTGAGTACAGGGAAGCCAATATGCCCAGAAGGCTGATGGAATCCTGAGCTGCATTAAAAGGGGTGTGACCAGCAGATCGGGGAGGGATTCTGCTTCTCTGCTCCACTTTTGTGAGACCCCACCTGGAATGCTGCATCTGGCTCTGGGGTCCTCAGTACAAGAAAGATGTGGACTTTTTGGAGTGAATCCAGAGGAGACCACAACGATGATCCAAGGGTGGGAGTGGCTCTTTTAGGAAGACAGGCTGAGAGAGCTGAGGTTTGTCAGCCTAGAGAAGAGAAAGCTCTGGGTAGAACTCATTGTGGCCTTCTACTGTCTTAAGGGAATTATAAAAAAGAGGGAGATGGAGATTTTCTGTGTACAGATAGTAAAAGGACAAGAGTTTTAAACTGAAGGAGAACTGGTTTAGATTAGATGTCAGGAAGAAATTCTTTACTCAGAGGGTGGTGAAGCACTGGAGCAGGTTGCCCAGAGAGGTGGATGCCCCGTTTCTGGAAGTGTTCAAGGTGACACTGGATGGGGCCCTGAGCATCCTGATGTAGTGAGTGGCATCCTTACCCATAGCAGTGAGGTTCGAACTAGATATTCTTTAAGGTCTCTTCCATCCCAAACCACTCTGTGATTCTATGATTCTGTTTGCTGCAATACCTTCAAGAACCCTCCTGGCTAGGAGTAAGAAATGATCTGAAGTCACTTTTATTCTCATTCTTCCCCATAGACCTTCCACTGCCACCTCCTCCTCCACCTGGGGAGGATGCAAGCTTCTCCTCAAACTGTGCATTTCCACCACCCCCACCACCCTTTGAAGAACCTTTTCCACCAGCCCCAGATGAAGCTTTTCCTTCTCCTCCTTCTCCACCACCTCCTCCTCCTCCACCAATGTTCGACGAAGGACCTGTGAGCAAGGTTCCTGCCCCTCAGGTGAGTGAGGTCCAAGGAAGTGTGGTTTGTGTGTGATGCTCTGTGAGTTGGTTCAGCTTCTCGCCACTGTCTGAACTCGGCAGTGAGAAGCCCTGAGAACCTGGGAAAGCAGGAAATGCCACCAGCCGGTGGACCAGCGCAGGTTAGGGTCAGCTGGCTGGGCTGCAGCTCTGTGGGAAGGATCCAGGGTTCCCAGTGGACAGAGAGTTGAGTGCAAGCCAGCAATGCGCCCTTGTGGCAGTAAAGGCCAACCACATGCTGGGCTGCACCTGGGAGAGAAGGACAAGGACAGTGAATACTCCTCCCTTCTGTGCTAGTGGGGCTGCATCTTGGAGGACTGTATCCAGTCGGGCTCTTCAGTATAATAACCCCTTTGGAATACTGAACGAGATGCAATCCAGTGAGAGCTCACTGCAGCCTTTGGGGCTTGGAGCAGAAGAGGCTGCCAGTGCAGGGGTCTGACTGGAGTCTGCAATACCTAAAGGAGGGCTGGAGAGAAGACAGATTCTTCCTACTCGGGCACAAGAAGAAACAATGGACAGAAGTTATGGCAAGGGAAATTCCTCTTGGACAGAAGAAAACCCAGTTCCACTCCAAGGGTGGCTCATTGCTGGCACATGTGCCTAAAAAGACTGGGGAACCTGCATCATTTGGAATGTTGCAAAATCATCTGCATGGGGCCTTGAGCAGCCTGGTGTTGCTTGGGAATTAGCCCTGCTGTGAGCAGTGTTGGACTACAGAATGACCCAGATGTTTTCTCCCATCTAAATCTGTCTGAGAGCTTCCCTGGGCTGTGCATTTTCCTACTGTTTGTAGACCTTTGAGACTGTGTCCTGTTCATCCTCACCAGCTTTTTATCCGTTCAAAGCAAGGAGCAGACCTGTACCACAGTCCAAATAATCAAAATATGCTGTTGGAAGGGAATGATAGACCATTTCTGTGGCTGGTCCTGTAACACGCCCTGTTCCCTTTTTCCTCATGGATGGCTGTGTAGGTATGTGGCAAGATGAGCAGCATTGATCTTGAGATCTCAGTGTCTGTAATGTTGGATGACATGGAGAAGAATGACCCCTTCAAATCCCGGGTGAGCTGTCCAGAGTGTTGCAGTTGGAAGAACAAGTGACTGGTTTGCTGAACAGAGGTAGTGAGAAAGGTGCTACTGAAGATTAAAATATGTGGATAAACCATAGCATGGACGTGCTGGTGAAGGACTGGAAAACTCTTGCAACTTGTCAGTACTGCTAAATATGTCACAGTGTGGAATCCCCTTGTGTTCTGGGTTTGGGATAGCTGCTGATTCACTGCTATAGATGGCATTTTTTCTCTTCCACCTTGCTGATAACTGTCTGTTTTCTTGCTGTTGTTTCTCTTTACAGATAACTCTGGGATCCACAGGTTCTCTGGAGAAACCATTGGCCCCAAAAGCCCCTGTGGAAATACCATCTGCACCCAAAGATACTCCTCATTCCTTTCCTTCCAAGTTCACGCCAAAGCCAAGTGGAAGCTCATCTTTCAAGCCCCCTGGGGTGGATTTGAACCCCACTCCAACCCCATGGGCAGCCCCACAGCAACGCAAGGAGCCTCAAGCACCTCCACCTCCCTCTCTCCCTTCTGCTCAGCCTACCCCGAAATTCACCCCGTCTCCTGTTGCTAGCTCTCCTAAGTCTGTGTCCAAATCAGGTGACAATGTTCCAATGACTCCCTCAAATTCTACTAGATACCCTACCTCCCTTCAGACTCAGTTCACAGCCCCTTCACCTTCAGGCCCCGCCTCTCGACCACAGCCCCCCAATTTCACCTATGCCCAGCAGAGGGAAAGACCCCAAGTGCAGGAGAAGCCACGCCCAACAGAACAACCTGCTGCTGCAAGAGACACGGTAAGGGAAAGAGCCCTAGGACTGGTGTCTTTGGAGAGGCACAGCAGGAGTGAAATGGGGAGGTTGAGGGTGGATGTGCCCCAGGCTGTGGGAGGCTGTTACCCATCAGAAAGAGAGATGTAACTATAGAAATTGTAGTGCAGAGGGGTAGGACTTCATGCAAAGGTGGAAAGAATCAAGCACAGTGGATGGCAGATTGCCTAGAGATGAACAGAGAGGACCTGTAAAGGCTAGAGAAATAGGTTAATTAGGGACAAGGGTTGTGGGGGAGTCTGTCTTTTGGGATTTAATGTTTCCTCTTCCTGCAGCATAGACCCACAGGTTCCAGTGCAGATCCACCTAGGGGGAATTCCTGTCTGACAATGAAGGAGGTAGAAGAGCTGGAGAAGTTGACCCAGAAACTAATGAAGGATATGGAGCATCCACCCCCAGCAGAGGCTGCAACTTCTGGTGCGTGCCTTCAATGGACTGCAGTAGGATTGAGACTGTGATGTGTTTTCATCTCTCTTGATCCCTTTCCTCTTCCATTGACAGAGCTCTGCGGATTCTGCCGGAAGCCTCTGTCACGAACCCAGCCAGCTGTGAGGGCCCTGGACCGCCTCTTCCATGTGGAATGCTTCACCTGCTTCAAATGTGAGAAGCAGCTGCAGGGGCAGCAGTTCTACAATGTGGATGAGAAGCCCTTCTGTGAGGACTGCTATGCTGTGAGTCACTGGGATGAAAGCTGCTGGAGGGAACTGAGCTCTCTGTGGTGGTTCTCTTGCTTTCCCTTCCTCCTTCCATCTTTGCTTTCTGTGTTGTAGCCTCACGGGAGTGGGAGATGGGATTCACGTGTCTTACTTGTTTTCTTTGTACTCAGAGCACCTTGGAAAAGTGCAGTGTCTGCAAGCAGACCATCACGGACCGGATGCTGAAGGCCACTGGGAACTCATACCATCCCCAGTGCTTCACCTGCGTGGTGTGCCATACCCCCCTGGAGGGGACCTCTTTTATTGTGGACCAGTCCAACCAGCCTCACTGTGTGGATGACTACCACAGGTATGGAGAGAGCATGTGCATGTGGGGTATGAGAGAGGGCAGATTCCCTGACACCTGCTGCTTTTTGCTGTAGTATGGGGTTGGGTTGCCCATGTTGTCTGTCAGACATGAAGTTAAAACTGAGTCAGCGAAGTGTGAAGATGTCTTTCCACCTAAACATTTATTCTTCCTCTGCTGCTAATGCCATTGAACAGCGCTAACAAGTCTGCTTTGAATGTCACCACGGTGGTGATGGTCTCCTCCATGGTTCTGTGTTGCAGGAAGTATGCTCCACGCTGCTCAGTGTGTAGTGAACCCATCATGCCAGAGCCTGGAAAGGATGAGACAGTGCGTGTTGTTGCATTGGAGAAAAATTTCCACATGAAATGTTACAAGTGTGAGGTAAGCCTGGTGGCCCCACTCCTCCCATGTCTCCTGTGCCATCACCAACTGCTGGGCACCTTTGTTGTCTAGGCTGACCAAACACTGAAGTTGTTCTGAATGAACTGTACTGTTTTTGAAGCTTGATCAGAAAAATATTAGACATTCACAGGCATGACTACAGGGACTGTGCAGGGTTGTTGCATTCTCTAACACCCCAATACATCAGCTGCATGTAGGAGGGGAAGTTGCTGGGATTTCTCTCCCCTCAAAATAGCATCTCCCATTAATGCCACCAGGGACAGAGCAGTGGGCTGTGAGCGATTATCCTGACCCTGTGGGGCATTTCTTACATCCTTGAATGCCTTCACCCTGTTCTTGGCCATCACTGAGCTCCCTCTTCCTGTTTAGGACTGTGGGAAGCCCTTGTCCATTGAAGCAGACGAGAATGGGTGCTTTCCTCTGGATGGGCATGTGCTGTGTATCAAGTGTCACACCGTCCGTGCAAAAACAGCGCGCTGAGGAGCTCAGAGGGGGCATTCCCTCAAGACCCCCACGCTCAGTACTCCTTCCCTCTGCAATTGTCCTACCCCTCTGCCTGACAAGGCAGACTGCTACCCATGGAGACTATGCCAGCGCAGTTTTTCACTCATGTAGGATTCACTGCTCCTAGACTTCACTCTGCACACCCACCAAGAAAGGACCTGTTCTCCTGTCACTGCTTCCTGGCCACAGTATATTCCAGGCTGGGGGGCTGTGATCAAGGTGAGTGCACAATTGCTGTTCCCTCAAGACTCTGGAGGAGAAAGATCAGACCTCCACCACCGCCTGGTGGAAGAAGCAAGAAGGGCCTGGTGGCAGGTGCTGGGAAAGGCTGAGAGCATTCTTCAGTTCTATGGAGCCAAGAACGACGATTTGACTTTAGAAGGTGGAAGCCTGCATCTCGGCATCGCTTCTGTCTTTTTTATATCTTATGACACCTCATTGTCAGGATGTCTTCCTCTGCCTGCTCCCTCACCTGGGTTAGAGTGTGGAGGCATATAGTGGGAATCTGTTACTGTTGCTGGAAAAAGCTAACCTGCTATAGCTTTTCTGTCTCTAATGGATTTTACTGATTTACTGTCTTGTCTTTTTTTCCTTAGCCAGTTTAAACTGGCAGTGTTTGAATACTGCTCTGTTTCTGAGTTTGGAAGCTTTTTTAAAAAAAAAAAAATCTTCCCCTTCCCAAAATGAATTGTTTCCCAGCGTGGTTTTTGGGCAGCCAGGCTGGGAACCAGAGTAGCAAAGCAGTCCAAAGAATGCATGTTTACAAATAAAAACCGTCGGAAGGACGGGCAGCACATGGTGAGGAGGCGTCTCAGTGCGTGGATGAGGATTCAGCAGACTGAGGAATGTCTCCTGTTCCAGTAGGGTTTCTTTCACTGCTGTCAGTGAAAACCACAGTAATTGCAATGTACTGTTTGGCTCGGAGTGTTACTGCACTGAGCCCCATTTCCTGGACTAGAAACTGTCTCAAACTGAACAAACCTTTTGAATAACAACACTGTCCAACCACTGTTTGCATTCAATAAAATGTGTGGGTTTTTTCCATTAACCTGTGTCTGCTGTGTTTGTTCAGCCACCCATGAGAGTTGCTGTCTTTGGCAGTAGAATTGCCTTTGTACAGCTTTTTTATACATTGCCAAATGTATATAAGGCTATTCCACCCAGCCTCCAGAGATCAGGAGTCTGAACATGGCCTTTCTCTCTCCATCTCTTGGTCTCCTTTCCAGACTTCTATTTTTCTGTGCCTGAAGAGTAGCTCTGATTTAAAACTGTGCAAGACTGAAGTTCAGTACAGCAATATTGTAGTTTTCTTCACTTATCACTCGGAGGTGGGTATTCCAGTGAGATGGAAGTGGGTTGTAATAAAAGTGCATATTTTGTTTGCTTTGCCCCTAACTATTGCTTCTCAGAAAGTGTTTGTGCTTGATGTTTATAGTCCTAAGCATAATATTGTGATGGTCACTGCAGGTGAAACTCCTCTTTGTTGTAAGCACCAATGTTTCTACACTTCAGAGACCTGAAACCTACTCTTGATCTCTTGCCAGTTTGGGGAAGATCTTTAATGACTCCTTGCAAATTGATCCAGTAAATGTCTTGAGGTTTTCTATGGAATGAGTAGAGAACAAATCATCCATTTATTTTTCTTACTGTAGTTGTTGCTAGTTTGTAGGCATTGTTGTAAGAGGTTGTTTCTAGACTATATTATTAAAAGCTTGTGCCCACAAACACCAAGGAGTGCAGGGAAGAGCAATGCTGGGGTAGAGAAGCACTAATTCTGCTCCTCCCAGAACTATTAGAGGGGATGGTAGCCTTGGTGTCTGGGTAGGAGACCAATCCAGTGGGAAGGGATTACCTGGTGGGTTAAAGGGAGGTTTCCCCTCTGAGGGGTATGGGATGTGTAGGGGGGAGATCAAAGGCAGGAAATAGGAGTGATCAAGGATGGGAAGTGCCATGAGGAAAGACTGACAGGAAAAAGGCACAGAAGGAGGTGGCTGCACGTACACAGTACACTTGTCTGGCCATGCCCTGTGTGTCATCAGTGATCTGTCCTGTCTTCATAATAGTGCTTTTTTTTTGGTTGTTCTCTGCATGGTCTCTGTTCAGTGCAAGTGGATCTGAATGCCAGCAACTGGACAGACCTGAATGCATGCCTACTGTGTGGGTGTGTGTGTCCTTGTGTTATCACCAGCAAAATCAAGTCAGACTAGCTGGTGAGTAAGGTAGGAGATTTGAGAGCGGGGACATGGAATGGCTGTGGGTCTGGCTAAGTGCTATGAAGATGTGTGTGAGTGAGCTGCTCAAGCTTCCAGGAGCTACTTCTGGGTCTGGAGACCAGCTGAAATAGAAGTTTGCATCTGTGTGTGAGGACCCTGGGAGACCAGGGAATCCTGGATTCAGCTGCTGGGTAGAGCCAATGTCTAAGGCTAATTCCTGGAGGGCTCCAGGGTGTGTGTGTGTGCATATCTGCATGCCCACCACTGCAGCAGGGCTTCAGGCCTTGAGGATTTTTGTATCCTGGTGCCAGCAACTGAGGAGAAGAGCTCAGACTCCAGGACTTGGAGCCAGCTGTGGGATGGCTGGTCCTGGGCACTAGAGGGATCCATCGTGTACATGTGTGTTTCCTTCTAACAGGTTCATCCTGATCAGCCAGAGTGGGAAGAGGATTAGGCTGTTTGTGCTGTGCTTGCATGTCTGCTGTGCTCTCTGCCTCCGGCCAGTCATGTACAGTGTCAGCATTTATAGACGTGCACACATTACAGACTTGGGGATTTTCTGAGCATGAGTGCCTTTTGGGAATACATGCTCAGGCTTGCTACTGGCTGTACCCTGAGGACATGGAACTGAGCAGCCTTTTCGCTACCAGGCCAGCTGATTCAGCAGCTCCTAACACTTGAAGTTGGAGGGGACCTCCCTGCTCAGAGCAGGGTCAACCACAGCAGGTTGCTTTTTAATACTTTAAAGGATGAGACCTGGGTAATCTGTTCCAGTGTTAAGAACTCTCACTAAGTTTTTTTCACCTTCAAACAGAATAATGTACTGCATTTTGGTGTGTTCTCACTGCTACTTCTTTCACCGGATACCACTGAGGAATGTCTGGTTCCTTTTTTTACTCCCATCAGGTATTTATACACAATGATAAAAGCCACCCAAACATTCTCGTCTCGAGGCTGAACAGCCTCCAGCTCTCTGAGCCTCTCCCTGTATGTCAGATGCTCTCATCCTTTTAAAACCACAGTGGCCTTCCATTAAGTTTATATCCTTCTTTGTACTGGAGACCCCAAAATTGGACACAACACTTCAGGTGTTTGACCAATGCTTAAATAAAGCGGAATAATTGCCTCCTTCCAGTTACTGGTCAGGTATTTGCTGAAATGGAGCCCAGGTACTGTTGTCATCTTTTGCTAAAAGGCTCAGGTGCAACTTTCTATTCACAATGACCTGCAAGTCCTTTCCTGCAAAGCTGCCTTCCAGTCCCCAGCTTGTACTGGCGCATGAGGCTATTCCTCCCCAGTTGTGAGCTCTGCCTTTCCCTTGGTTCAACTTCCTGAATCTCCCCTCTTCTCATTGCCACCCCCTATTAAGGTCCCTCTGTGTGGCAGCACAAGTATCTGCTGGATCAACCACTCCCCTATCACCTACAGTGACAAGCCAAAGTTTACATGTGCATGACACAAGCTCATAATCTTGTGTCAGCCTCATCAGAGCTTATCTGCTAGCTCTGCCAGGTGTCTGCCAGGTATCTGCCAGGTAGCAACTTTACTGGTTACCCGTACTTCATGTTAAACACATATATTGCTAAGACTGATACACTAAAAACTCAGAGGTTTGCTTTTCAGCTCTCCTTGCTATAGTTACAGTGACTTGAGTTGCCATGGTCTGTGTTGAATAGAAACCAGCTTTCTTGTATCCGGTTGCAGTTCTTTGGATCTCTGCTTCTCAGCCCTCCTGTCATCTATGGTTAAGCAAGGCCTTCCCAGAAGCAGCAGTGTTAATTTATAGCCTTAAGAATTTAGAGCATGATACAGTTATGGAAACACTGTTATCTCTAGCAAGTCACATTGTTGAATGTGTAGCACCCACCTTCACCAACCTAGACTTGAAAAATAAATCTTGAGGTGGCTACTCTTCCCGAGTGGGAGAAAGTCTTAGGAACATCAGTGAGAATTTTTCTTTCTCCTGGACAGTCTAGTCTGCAGGAGAAAGAAGTACTACTCACATGTCTTTCATCAAACACAGCAGTAGTTGCTAATATTTATGATTTAGGAATAATTACAGGATTTGTAAAATGATGGACTTGGATGTTAGATATGCCTGTAAATGGGTTGAAAAAAAAATCTGAAGTGATCAGCTGCAAAGGTATCCTTTAATCCTAATGGAATTGCACTTCAATGTTACATCTGCAGTTAAATGGACAAAGACCATTGGCTGAAACAACTAAAGATGGATGTAAGGACCCTGCTGGGTCTTATGATATGTGTGCTAAAGGTCTCAATCACATTTGAAATAAGCCAAAGAATTCCAACACAGCCTGCTCTGCCACAGGTTTATTTACAAAATATTATTTACAGACTATAACTGTCTTGAGATCTGATAAATAATAATATTTCCTCCACAGAGAAGGAGTAAGACAGACCACCTACACATTTTTCTGTTACAAATACCCTACTCCAGCCAAACAAGACTATTGGCTCTTTTAAAAAGGGGCAGAGAAAAATGGATACGTATAGGGTTTCTGTCCACAGCAAAAGAGAAGGTATTAAGCAGTTTGGAGAGATGTAAATCTCCCCAGTGAAGCGTGCATGTGCAAAACAGCAACACACTGAGGTGATGTGATCACACAAGTTACAGTGGAGTGTACTTCTACTCCCAGTTTCTCCTCCAAAGAAAGAAGCACACCACAGGGTGATGTTCACAGCAAGAATAGCTGGCATTAAAAAATATATGCCTTACCAGAAGCCTTGTGAAGGACTGAATGGTTTGCTCCTGATGCAAAATAAAAAAGACAGAAGGCTGCTGAAGTGAGAAGGAATGTATGCCAAGGAGTGAATGAGCCCTGTCTCTACCTGTCTGTATTCTTGTGCCTGCTCCCTGAATGTCCCAGTCTATCTTGAACCCTCATCTCCAATCTTAAAACATTATCCACCACCGGCCACCCACTTTGTATTCCATGTGATATACTGAGCATCTGAAAGTCCAGTATGAGGACTACAGGGTCTGCTTAGTGCTGCACAAAGTGGACTGCAGAAAACAGAGAACATTTTCTATGACCAGTGCTCTGAAACGTACTGATGGCTGCTGTAGAGCTAAAGCAAGGGGGAACAGAAATGAGAGCAGGTGGTGTTGCCTCATGAGCTTTTTCAGTCCTGGTTGTTTTGCTTTGCTTGTCCAGTCACTCATTTGGAAGCAATTGCCATAGGAATGATTCCAAGTGATATCTGGTAAGGATGGGCATTTTTCAAGCTTAAGAATGCAACAACTGATCATTCCTTAAAGCCTTGGATGCTGCACAAGATCCTCTTCTGGTGGCCTGGAAGTGACACTCCCATCTGTTTCAAGTCCCTGAAGGAAATGGGAAAAGAAAGAAAAAAATGAATTGCTATTCTTGTTCCTTAGGGATGAGAATGTGGGTAAGGGCAGAAATAGTTACCAAGCATTAGCTCAGAAAGCTTCCTTTTCCTCAGTGCCTCCTAGTGCACCTTTTCTCTAGAGGAAGAAACTTCTAGATATTCCTGCCCTCCCCCTGGCTACCTCTGCCCACCCAGTCAACTGACCTCTTCTGCCTCAAGGCTCGGCCTGTGCTCCCAATAAATCAGGACTTGTGATTAAATCAGCTCTGTGATAGGGGCCATTTCTCAACCCTTCAGCAGGTCTGTGCCTGCTCATTTGTTTAATGTAACTGCCCTACTTGGAGTTGGCTGAACATCCCTGACAAAATAACACAGCTGTGTTCTGAGTCTGGAGGAGCCCAGAAAGATTTGCTCTATGACACAACAGTGCCTGGCTGATGTAGTGGGGGGGGGCTATCACTAACCTATATGGAGTTTGTGT